TTCGAGAAGTACTCCCTGACAAAGTAAGAAAGCAGTTTTTCATGTGAGATTATATCCCTTGCAAAATATTCGTTCAGCAGCTAGACGGAGGCAGTGATGTAAGAAGGGAGCATTCCCTTCCTTGCTTTTTACCAGGTACTAAGAGTGTGACCTCTGTGATTCTCCCTATAGAACAGAGGCAAGAAAAACTCTTTTGTCATGATGAAATCCAAACCCCCGACATGATGGGGCACAGCATGAACAGCCAGATTGTCTTTTTGCTTTCCTTTGCTTTGAGATAACCCAAGCATGTGTCTTTGTGGCTTATGTTAAAGGTGACCTGCAAATGGGGGTCAACATTGAAACATGGTAAACTTGAAATGAAATGTGCTTTTTTTTTTTTTTAAACATTAGGTATTTAGGCCAGTCTACCCTGTGAGACTCTTGGCAGCTGAAGTATTACTGAAATGGGTTCTTCAAAAAAATGGAGCTGCAGAAAGCAAAAGCTGTTTTAGTTGTTTTTTTGAAACTTACAGATACCCATTTGACTTCAATGACTAAATAACATTTTGAGTAAAAGAAGCCCCTCCTATGTATTCTGAGTCCTTTCATTCTGTTTTAAATAATCCCAGAGGCTCTCAAAAACTCTGCAGCAAAGCCAGAATATATTAGATCTTACATGCTTTGTGCTTGGAAGGTAAATAAAGTGGAGAAAGAAAAGCAATTTCAGACGTTAATTGTCATAGAGGAAATAACAACGGGTACTGTTAATTGAACGTCATCACAGGTTACCTGAGTTACTTGACAAAGCTGCTTTGTGCTCTTAACTCTCGAAATGGATCACAGCTCTTACCTGGTCAAGTATGTGGAAGATAAACCAATAGGGCTGCTAACCAGCACATGAAATGATATGGCCAAACATAATTGCTGCTATCTGCAGTTTGTGTGATCTGTGCTTTTACTTCACGAGGTATGATTTCCTTGTGACAAACATAGTAAAGGGCACCTTGCCAATGACATAGGGAAGGTATTTCCTCCTAGTTTTGCTCCTTTCTTGAAGTTGGTGCTTCTGCCTGCCTGCCTTCCTCTGCTTCCTCTGCCTAGCCTCTGCTTTTAGACTCACACAGTTGAAGCATCTTCCATTGAAGGGCAGCAGAACTGAACCATCAGCAAAAACACTTTTAGAGCTTTGAGATCAGCTCCTTCCCAGCTTGTTGTGTCAGCTTCCCTGCCTTCTGCCTGCCATTAATTTAACTGGATCCACAGGTCAAACAACTGGCCAAAAATCTGGAAAACAGCTGAGGGTCAGAGCAGCTCCTACACAACACGCCCTGTCAGAGGGCACACTCCGGGCCTGGTCCTTTTGAGTGGCTGGACCTGCTTGACCCAATTTGTGGATTTTTGATCACTCCCATGGGTCACTGATTTTCCACTTGAGGTTATTGGTTTGACCCCCAAACCGTGGGTCACTTGGGAGGTGTGATGCAGCCCTGTGAACTCTGAACTCATCAGGAGCCTACAAAAACAGCAGCAAAGGGAAGAGGAATTTCATTAAGGCCTCTTCGGAGGTGGCAGTGTCTGCCGAAAGGAAAGGCGGGGGTTGTTTTGGCTCTTGAGGAAACAAGCGTAGCATCTACAAGGGGCTGCCAAGAAGAAAGTGTTTTGCTTGGTTGTTACGGTGATTACTTTAAAGGCAAACAACAGCATATACCTTTACACCATGAGCTATCAAGCAAAAATGGCGTTGGTTCAGAGGGGCCCTGCTTGTTCTGCTTACTGCTCCCAGCCTCCCAGACTTGCTCCTAATGGTGACAGCATTGCTATAGCTAGGCTTTGGCATCTGTACGTGTTTCTTCTTCCTCAAGAAGACTGATGGCTAATTTGAAGCACTTGGGAAGGGAAGGGCTGTTCTTTCCTGTATCTGAAGACATGTCAGGTGGAAGTTCACGGCAGAGACTCCTGAGGCTGGTGGCTTGTGCTGTGAGCAGCTCCTTAAAAGCAGACTGCAGCAAGCACAGCTGATAGGTGGGCAAGAATGGATCCTTAGGAAATAAATCAGTTTCAACATGCTGTGCTGGTCATAAAGAGGACGAAAAGCAAAACACCATCTTCGGTAGCACATGCCCTTGCATGCCCAACACCCACTTGAGTCACTGGGGAAATGAGCTGCAGAGGGTGGGACAGTCATGAGGATCTCCTTCATGAAATTTCCCCTGGTCATGCTGTTCAGGAGCTGGCTTGGGGGCAGAGTTACCAGAGTTGCCTGAGCTTTTGCTCACAAGATAGTTCCAGTAATCATTGGTTAGATCACTGGTAATGTTATTGTCAAGGCTATCGAAACAAAACAAAACAAAAAACAACTTGCATGCCACGTTCTAGGGCTTTCCATGCCAACTGGATTTGAGCCTTGTCTCTTAGCACAACCCCTCCTCCAGGTGCTATCCCAAATTCTGAGGAATGCACTCCAAAAATACAGCAGATCTGGGTGTTTGAGAGGAGAGAGATAGTCTGAAAGAAAACAGTTTACATATTTCTATATTTTCAAGAAAGATTATGTCTTTCATACACGGTCCTCTGCAGTCTACCTACACAACAAAGGGTGGTGTAAGTGTACGAATGGTGGATTTTGTTTTATAGCATAGCACAGAAAACCCAATGGCATGAGCTCAAGCTGCTGGATACATGCTTCATGTCTCTGGCACACTTGTACCCTGGTACATCTTCGCTGCACAATCCCAGGTCGAAGCTGCCTGCATGTGCTACCCTGGGCACTTTCTTCCAGAACTGGCCTGCCTGAGCCTTCCTGGCAGTGGCTCTGCTGGGAGCTGAGCAGCCTGCTGGATTGCAAAGCACATCTCACTCTGCTGCCACATACAGGCTTGCCCTGCAAGCTGAGGGATGACTTGTGCTGTAGGCTTAGAAGATGCTGTGGCTCAGTCCTGTTTTCTGCAGTCATTTTGGTACTAACTAATCTTGATTTTGTTATTTTTGAGTAATTCAATGTAGTAGTTAGATCTAAGTCCAAAAGCTGCCTGGCTCCTTGGTGAATTCTAGGTCAAGTTCCAGGTTCAGTCCCTTCTTAATGTGATCCACAAGAGCTTGGTTGATTACAGCTGCTGATGAGAACATCTTTTCAGATCTAATAAACAGGATCTTGAGCATTACCCTTAATTAAAAGGTGATGGCTGTAGGTTTGACGTTTGTTCCTCTTGGTTTGCTGCTTGACACAAAGCAGTTCTGAACATTGCAGAAGCCTTTTGTGATTGGAAGCGCATTTTTATGTACAGAAGAATTAACAGCTGAGTGGGATGGCACTGACTAGCAAACAAGCCTTCATATGGAAACACGTGGAGCAAATCTTTGGCCTGCTGTAGAAATTAGGCTTGTTGCAAGGCGTAGGTGTGTGAGCAGAGATAGCAGTTGTCTCAACACATGCGGCTAAGAGTCCTTTTAGTATCTCAGAGGGTGGCTTCAGGCCCTTCAGCACTTTGTCTGGACTGTCTCACAAAGAGAGAGAGGAAAAAAAAGTCAGGAGTGCCTGTCTTTTATAACATTCTGTTTTTAAAGCAAAAAGTCTCTGGGGAGCATGGGGTCCTAAAAGTCCAAGGCCTGGAATTCTTCCTTTTGCTCTTTCCATTTTAAACAGGAAACATTTGCACTAAGTTATTCCATGGAGAGAATTGTAGGTTCATTTCAAGGCAGATAATGTTTGTTCATTGCCTGTGTCCATGATTTACCCCATGGGCTTAAACGAGTGCAGCAGAAAACCACATGTTTTGTTTTACTTCATGCAAAACAAGTTCCAGTGGAGTCTGGAAGCCCAGATTAAGTAGGGGAGGCAAGCTTGTAAAATCTGTGTGTGAACAAAAGAGAGGCATTGATGAATTGTGAGCACCTGATCTGCTGTACCAAGATGATGACTTTTTAAATAAATCTATGGAAAGACTGTTTAAACAGTTCATGAGTTTAGTCCCAAACCCACAGAGCAGGTGTAATTGATTTATACTTTCGGCCCCTGTTTTGGGTCAAAACCCTGCCATCTTCCTTCAGCTCACACTTGCAGAGGGGCTGCCTGTACAGTCAATGGGAGGTTTTGCCAAAGTACAAAGGCATTTGCAATCAGACTGGCAAAACCTCCTAATTGAGCTGAACTTTTGTGGGTGCCCTGGTTGACATGTCTGTGAGAACAATTATTTTTGCCATTTCAAAAGTATCACAAGTTAAGCTGTACTAGGAAAAGATATTAGTCCTTCATTAGTGCAAATCATGGAATTAAGATGCAAAAAGCTACAGAGAGGGCTCCGTGGCACATCCTCAGGGATGTCATGTTCACATGTTGCTTTCCACGTGAACTGGAGCTTGTCAGATCCATACTGATGCAGACAAGTTACAGACAGGTTACAGAGCTGTTGTAATATCAGGCCTTCCAGATCACAAGAGTGTTTTTTTTAAACCTCATTGGCAGCTTGCCCATTAAACACAGGTATTATAACCTGACATCCCTAGTGCTTCTTCCAGGAGTTCCAGTTTTTCCAACTATGGTGTTTGGAAAGCTTTATGGTCTGACGTGTTAGGAGAAAAAATAGTGGGAAATGGCTTGGAAACCATGAATATTTGTACATGTAAAGCTTATGGGATTTGCAGACTTGCAGACCCAACTCATCTGTTTATCCTCAGGCCAGATAAGATTCAGTCAAACATGCATTGTTTAAAGGAGCTTTGTTTCCATTATGGCAAATGCATCACAGGAGGCTGACTTTGGGAACCGAAGGGCTCCAGTGCTCCTCCATTGTAAAAGGGCTGCGATGTGTGCTGGACCCTTCTTCCAGCGTCCTGGGTGTTGCAGACTTTTGTAGCTTGCAGGTGGGAGGCTTGGTATCCTTCAGAAGTTCTTTTGACTCATTTGGACCTGTCATGCTTGAGGTGGCATTTCCTTTCCCAAAGTAAACAGACTGTGAGTACAATAACATGTCACTGAGCTAGTGCAACGCTTTTAATGGGCTTTATGCTTTCCTCTTCAGACGTGGACCTGCAGAGCCACTGGAATATTTAACAGGGCCGCGAGTGATCTACAAAGAGAGAGATCTTCCCTACTACCAAGGAGGAGGACAGCCTGTTGTCCACCCATCTAAGGGGAACTACATCCATGCACCAGACGCAAGAGTGGCAGAATTGAGATACCCCCCGTACTACCCAGCCCAGTCCATCCCAAACCAGCATAAAGGACCCTTCCGGCAGGACGTGCCACCTTCTCCTCCTCAGCCCCACCGTGCACCAGCTTATAATGAGATTATCCGACACCGTGGGACCAGTCCAGACCAGTACCAGTACAGGCAACAGGATCCCAGGCAGAAGAACCCCATGACTGCAGCTGTATAGACACACACTGGACTTGCCAGCACAGCCCTGGAAGAATCCTGTTGGACATCGACCCTTTAGAGTTGTTCACAAGCATGGCTGCCTCTGCCTGTAAGATTGGCACAAGACCTGGAGTCGTTTGTACTGAGCTGGGCTCAGCATAGGTGCTTTCTGACAGGTGAACTAGAGCCATGAGTGGTACGATGTATTTTGAGTATGTGAGGTACCAGACAGTTGAGTATTTTTAAATTCCTTTTTAAAAGTAGAAAGTGGCTGCTGGAAATGAAGCGCAACACTTATTACACCTCAGGGCTATTTACCGAATCTGGTTACACCAATACAGTACATAGCTGTCTGTCCAGCAGCAGTATCAACAGTTTACTACAGAGCTCTGCTGCAGAGCCTCTCAGTGAGAGCACAGCGAGCAGTGTGGACTTCTCACGGGGATCTTGTGGGATCAGCTGACAGGGGCCTCACAGAATCAGCAGCCATGTTCCAGTCACATTCAGACCAGCAGCACTGTGTGCTAAGGATGCTGCAGTTCCAGATTTGTATCCTCACATTTGTCTTCCTCTTTTTGTTTGATAGTGGCAGCATTAATCTTGTATCCTTACCTTTTTTTACAATCTGCCTAGCAAGGTTCTCATCTTATTGCACCTGCTGCATTTGGAGTAAGGCAAAAAACTTTATCCACCACATGTGGGCAGGCTCAGAGGATAAGACAGCCATCCAAGAGGTGTATGCCGAGCAATGCGTGTGTGTTTGTGAGTATTTCGTAGTCACATGGTGTGCACTTTTTAAAGGTAAACTCCAGAAATCAGATCCTCAGCTGCTGTCAGTGCTGCTCCTGAGATTTCAAAGGAACTAGCCTGCGAGTCATGGCTGTGGAGGTAACTGTGGGCATGGAGTCCATGACTCAATATCTATTAAGCTACTGTGCCAGGTGCTGCTTTGGATTGGACAGGGCGGCCTAACTCCTGCCCTGCTCTGGCCAGGCTGACAGTCAAGTGCTTGCTGGCAGCATGCGAGTCAATGGTGGTGCCAGGCCAGTGCCAAGTGCCAAATAACCCAGGTTCCTGCAGCGGGGGCCAGTGAGAGAGGAGATTTTCACAGTGAGAGGTGAGGAAAGAGACAATGAAAGCAATAGGGAGATCTTCTATACCCTGGGCCCATGGAGGAAGAAGAGCGAAGAGCTGTAAGAGTTATTTGCAAAAGTGCATAGGACAAGAGCGGGCTGGCAGAGCTGGGGGTCGGGAGCGCCTGCCAGCTCTCTGCCCCATGCAGCCTAAGCTTGCAGTGCTTGCCCTGACCAAGGATTAAGCTCAAGGATTTCTTTGATGTCTTTTTGATACCTTGATATGAAACACATTAAATCATACAGGTCACTTCTAGGCATTAAATATCACAGGAAGGATCGCATCCCTTTCCTAGAAACCCCTGGAAAAGGCCTCGTTAGAGCAAGAGGTCCACAAGGCACAGGGCAGGGCAGTCAGTGCTCTTTCTGGGGCCACAGCTGTAACCCCTGGTAAGGATGAGCACACATCCCAGTCAGCCCAGTGCTGCCTGTGTACTGCCAGTGAGAGGTTGGTGGAACTGGAGCACTGAGTATCTGTGCCTGCCCTGCTGGCCTGCAGGTTCCAGTGGCTGTATTCACACCAATCTCTAGCACTGGCCAGGCTGGAAGCAGCGGGAAGAAGCAGCTTTGGGGTGGTGGAGAGGGGGCACGTCTCCATGATTCAGCTGCGGGGCTGGGCTCCCTGGGGCAGGGGCAGAAGAGCTCCAGATCCAGTCAGGAGGAAGCATTGGTGGGAGGGAGAGCAATGCGACTGATCGTGAAGTAAGTATGTTCAGTTCGTGCTCCATTTCTCCCTGCCCTCTTCCCTAGAAATGTAGGAGGAAAAACCTCTGGAGGGAGGGGTTGGATGTAAGGCCGAGTCTCTTGGCACTCTCCATAAACAAGGCACATTCCCCAGGGAAACTCTGCCTGTCGCATACGTGCTGTACGCAGCCTTCTCTGAAGAGTTTGAGATGCTGCAGGATACTCAGCCAAGACTTGGCAGCCGCAGGGTAGATGCTGGTGTTATGAAGGCCCGCTGAAAGTGAAGCGAAAACAAATTAAAATACTTTCCTTTCCCTGCTTGAAATACAACCGCTGATACATTTGATCCAGCTGTAAAGAAACTTATATATTTGCGACAGTGGCTTTATCAAGCCAGGCCACAATTAAGAACAGCTCTGAATATAAGCTACTGCCTTTATAAATCACTCTCAACTAACCCTTCACATGGCATTGCAGCGCAGTGAGCAGAACTTATTTACAGTATTTCAGGAGCCAGGGCCAAATAAAATCTGGATTGAAGCAGTTTCTGGGTTATTTATAGCCTTTGGAGGACCTGTATAGTTGTCTCCCCATAACCCGAATCTCTCCTTAATGGCTCCCCCTGACTGCATCAGCTCTGCTGGATGAGGTGGTCAGACCGAGCGCACACCTTCAGAGCTGTTAATCTTACCCAACGGGTTATTAAATGATGTTTCAGTGTGAGATCAGTACAGAGCTTCTTCCAGGAAAAAAGGAAAATGAGCTGCAAGCATAATATATAGATGCACCCTACAGGCGAGGAGCTAAGATGGAGCGGCAGGCTGACCCAGCTGGAGGACAGGACCCAAAAGTATTGCAGAGCCTCCCATCTGTCTCTGGTGCCATTGTTCTGCGAGGAAATTGCCCTTTGCAGGTTTAATATCTGCTAGAGGTATGGCTTTTTTTAAAGTATAATGTGTAACTACAGTATATATAGTCAGCTTCTCTGCAGTGTAAAATGTATGATTTTAGCACCATATTGTGGAAAAATATGTACCGTGCAGAATCCACGAGGTGCTACAACTGATGGTTGAAAATACGCACTTGCAAAAATCCAAAAGAGCCGTTAAGTAACAAGTTGTTCTTTTCCCCATATGTCCATATGTTTGGGAAAACTACACGTCTGAAGCGTTCTTGACACGTAATCGCCTCGCGTTCCCTCACCCAAAAGGTGCCAGTCCGGCAGCAGCGTCACCACCGGGGCAGTGGTGTGAGGGGAGGGCCGCATTTGCAGCAGGAGCAGCGTGCCAGCACTGCTCCTTAAGGGCTACGACGGGAGGGCTGCTGGAGGCTTTGCTTTCCCGAGCTGGGGCGTGCAGCCGGCGGCTCTGGCCCTGGCCTGTGGCCAGCTGGGCCCCGCAGATGAAAGATTAAGAGATACGGAGAGAGCCTGTGCATTTTTGCAGTGACCACCCACTAGTGAGCCATGTCTTGGCCTGAGAGCAGACGTTAGCACTGTGATGCGGCGTGAGGCAGGAGTCTCTTAGCACCCCCTGAACGTTGTGGAGAAAAGGGGAGCAAAGCATGTCAATAATAATTTTTTGAAAGGCTCCTGCTTTGAAGAACTGCGTGCAGCCTGCATTCCAATTCGCTCCAGCTTCTTGAACAAGTTTCACACGCTGCCTAATTTTTTTTTTTTTTTTCACAGATGAATTGTGCTACCTCCTCCTCCCAGCCATTGCAGATTTGTTTATCAGAGTCAGTGCTGGGAGTGCATCCCACTGAGTGCTCCGCCGGGGCCACATCCTGGCGCTCTGCGCTGGGCAGGGGCTGCTTTGCACCTCCAAAAGGCCATACGCCTGTGCTTGCCCTCACAGAGTTCTGCAGAGTCCCTAAGCCTTACAAAGTGCAAAGTCGGAAGCACTCTTTACTGTCTGCATCAAAGAAAACACTTTTTAAGACACTTCTGTGCTATTCAGGAGGAGAGGGAAGTGTTTATGATCCTGACAATACCCATGAGTTTTAGTTAAATTAATTTCAAAATCACACGTGTTTGTTTTGGGGGAGAAATTCAATACACAACTCCTGAAGTTTTCTTTCTAGTACCACATCAAAGATTTGATCTTTTGGTACATATGGCTATATAAATTTTACCTGTTTTATTTTGCATTAAAATAAAGGCTTTAAGACTACGTATGACTATGGATTTACATGTCGAGTCTGTCTCTTATGTGCATCTACAAAGTCATCGTCACCTCTGGATGTGATATGACGGTAGAAGATGGTGCGTGGTCAGGTCGGATCAGAACTGGTAAGGTGATTTCCACAGAACAAAGCACCAACAGCCACGTGCTGTATTATAGAAAATACAATCACTAAGCTACCTGGTTCCTTATCAAATCTGCATTGTCTTCAGTTGTAGCAACGGAGTCCTGATTTCATAGCCCTGACTGAAAGGAGGAGCGAGAGAGAAGTCCCTTGCCAACTCAGCGAATTTCAGCTTAGGCAGCTGCACGCTCATTGCTAGAGCTCCCCAGGCAGTTTCATCTCGCCATCAGGCTCTTGCCTTCGGTAAGCACCGAGCTGTCCTGTGGCCGTGCAGGTCCTGCTGGCTGAGGCTGTATTTCAGCGAGACGGCTGCAGCGCTATCTGCCCAGAAATTTAGGACTCCTTGAAAGTTTTAAACAGGTACTTAACTTGAGGTACGTGGGCCATTTTGCCAAAGCTGATGACACAACTTTTCATGCTCCAGATTATGCACGAGCATAAATCTGTAGAATCAGATCTATGGTTTGGAGAGCATACTGAGATTCAGGCAAGAGTGTTATATTTATGTTAGGTGATGTCATTTTCAAAATAGTAGGTATTTAAGTGAAAAGTCACTGGAACACAGAGAAAGAAGAATTAGTCTTTCTGAGAAGAAAATTTTGCTGCAAAGAAAATGAAAGAGTAAAGAACAAAGTGGAAGGATAGAAAAGTACAGGTTTACAGAAATTGCAGTATGCTCCAAAACATTTTGAATGCAGACTTTGGCATTTATGGCCAAGCCGCAGTTCATAGGCAACTCTGAGTAAATTTTAGTCCATACTAAATTGTAATTCGTGTAGGCACCAATTTTTAAAGTTATTGAGTAATAATTTGCATTCACTGCTAAAAACTGGGCAGGTAAAATACTAATGCCTGAGTTTCTCCTTCTACTCAAGTTATACACAGTAGAAAAAGGCAAACTAAGAGTACATTAAAAGGTGAGAACTCGGTGATCAGAGTTTCAAAAGTGCTCTGGCAATTGGTGGCAAAGGGCAGCAAGGGAGAGCAGTACATGATGGCAACACAGCTGGCAAAAAGGGAAAGGGATGAATAATTAGAATGGGGTGGAATGGGGAGCAGGGTAGAGGGTCAGACCTGAGCAGGAAATAAGTGACGGGGAGGAGAAGGGATTATCTCCAACATGTGAAGTTTAGTGTCAGCAAGGAAAATGACTCTCCAATATGCTGACCACTGCTCCCACTTCCACTTTGCATGAGAGGCTTGTGACACCCACTAAGCCCACTGAGTCAGGAGCTGTTTGCAGCACAAAGCAAGTGACTCCTGACTCAGTGGGCTTAGTGGATAGGTGTCACAAAACAGAAGGAAAGAAGGAATTGAGGAAACGCATCAACTAGTATGGGGAGAGGAGGAGAGCCCCTGCTACCCAAATCTCCCAGCCTTCTGCCCACCTCCCTCTCTTCACTTCCCTGAGTACCACTGCCACCACCAAATCCTCTTCCTTCCCAGCTCTCCCTCTCCTCACAGACCCACCCTGAGCCACAAGTCCCCAACACCACATTGACCTTCAAACACAGCTTTGGCCTTCAGTGCTGAGAAGCCTTGAGCCATCTGTGAGCATAGGTAACCAAGACCAAGAGTTTTCCTGGCACCCAAAAGCGATACGGAGTCAAAGCAAGCAGCATGGAGCAGGCGTTCTCACATGGTGTGGGCTGGGGCTGAGCCGCCATTCCAGATGTGGACAAGTTGTGGTCACCTCTGAATCAGCTGCTTTGTGGCTATAGATTGCAGGAAAGATGAGTTTTATATCCACAGTCATTTGTTTGTCTAGAACAAGCCTTTGATGTGTTCAAAAGCTGTTCTGTTGCTGTCCTGGCACAAAATTCAGGTGCCAAAATTATGATTGTAGTCTTTAAAACAGAATTAATTCTCCAGGCATTCCCAAAACATACCTGACAAACTAACCCAAGCTGGTTACAGCAAAAGCAACTCGGAAGCAGAGGAAGCAGCCCTGCTTTGCTTTTCCAGAAGAATATCTGCATCTGAAAGAAAATAATTTATTGGGAAATATGTACAGTAGAGTAAAATTGCAGAATAAGATATTCAATGGGGATTCTATATAAAACCATGCCCTTTGCCTCTAGCAGGTCATGAATAAAAATGATATAAAGAAGAAATGAACACTCAATGTTTTATATTTAAAATATGTTTTGTGAGGAAAACAATGTGGCATAGAAACAGGACTGAAAGGTTCTTCAAGATAATGCCAGCAACTGCAAGATGTCAGTAGCATTGTCGTGTAATTTTCAAGGTGTGGGTTTTTAATTTTCTCTTATGAATCACAGAAGGCAGACGTGAAAGCTGTCATTAAAATTCATTACAAGAAAAGCAAACTTATATTAAAACCAACCCCATTCCTCTCTGAATTTTGGGTACTGGTTAGGAATCACTGTCTGCCTTTCTGCCAAAACCTTACCTACGCAACATGATTTAATCTCTAGGCTGTTAAATCTGAGTTTTCATACATCACCTTCTTCAATCCAGAGTACAAAAAAATCAAATATATATATATATATATATATATTGCTACTCTAAATTGCAGCCTAGATTTTCACACCAGCAAGCTACAGTTTTAAGAGGCTTCATCTGCCATAATTTTTCTAGGAATTAAAAGAGAATGAAAAGTAGAGCAAATATGAAGAAAACAGATTAGAAGTAAATAAGAGAAGCAGCCCTCCTTCATCCTTCCATTCTCCTTCCTCCTAGGTATGTCTATATATATATATATATATATAAACTTAGGTATTGCTATTTTTGACCTAAAATCCAGTTACCTCTTCCAATATATTTGTAGCCATTCTCCCTCTCCAAAGGAAAGAGGAGTCAGCAGTAGCAGCAATATACGCGCATGAAAAAATCTGTTGTAAATTGTGACCTCTTGGTGGATGGATGTACAGACTGAGCTGTGAGAGAGGAGGTGTTCAGACAGCAGCGTTCCCATGTGCTGCGCACCGGACCAATGCCTGCAGCTCTGTAAGTGGCAATTTACAGAGGTGAGCTGAGTTTGCAGGGAACTGCCTGCCTGGCTGTGGGAGGGTTTGCCACAGTTGCTCTAGCAGGTGAGTGCTGCGGAGCCAGCAGCAGGACCATGGCATGGTGGCTGTGCAATCAGTGGCCTGGCCGGGATGGGAAAGGTTGAAACCAGAGCAGAACTTAGAGCAAACAGCTGAGGCTGCTCTGGGGTGATGTTAGGAAGCCTGACAGCCTGTTGGTTACTTCAGGAAGCAGAGGAAGTCGTAGGTGCTCTTGCCATGTCCAGGTGCCAACTCTGCATTCAGACATGGCCAGATCAGTCACAACCACAGCGTTAAGTGCAGGAAGGGTATTTCCAAGTCCATTTGGATGAACTTGCACACATCCTTTTTATAGTGAAGAGTGTCTCTTCTTTCTTCCCTCCTTCCTCTCTTCATCCTTTACATGGAAGCAAGCCCTCCAGGCCTGTCATTTTCTTTATGTATAAGGAAAGGTTGATGAGGTCTGAGTCCAATGTTCATTTAACCTTGCTGTGCTGCTAAGTTCTGCCCTGTCCCATCCTGCCCTCCTAGCTCTTGGGCCTACCCCATCCTCCAGCCCTTCTCTCCTTCCCAGTTGTAATGGTTTTTATTGCTGGGAGAGGACAAAGGTAACTGAGTGCTACTTGGGTTTAAAAAAAAAGTCATTTTTCTTCACTGTGCTGTTTTTAACGTGGACTGTTTCCCAGCTCTGTCCCCCAAATTGTTTTAATGGCACGAGAGTGGATAGAAAAGTGATGGGAACAAGGCTGGGGGGGGGGGTCAGGATGGGTTGGAGAGTGGTTAGGCTGCCGTTGCTACAAAACAGAAATGGAAAAGCAAAGCAAGAACACTAAATGACAGCCAAAGCACAATGTATTTAGGGGCTTGGATTTGAAAAGCCAAGCACCATCTTCTGCATTGGTTACATTCCTCTGCAAGATAACTTCTGGCCAAGTTTCCTGTGAGCAGAGGCAGAGTTCTCTAAATTTGAATTCCTGAGGCTCTTGCTTGTGGATTTTCTTTTGTGTTCAGCATTAAAGGAGGAGAAATCACAAGGCTAAAGTTGGGCTGTGGCTTGTCCCTCCTTGGGATGAGCAGAGGCTCCAAAGGGCTCTGGGACCCCTCCCCCCTTGCAGATGGATGTAGCACAGAGATCACCTCAGTGGCCTGTGGACACGGAGTACCAGGAAAGACAGGGCAGTTGTGGACCTGTCTGTGCAGGACTCACTGAGTTTCCCTCTTCCATGGGCTTCCTCAGCTCAATCTGTTTCCTGGGTAAGGCTGTTTCTGTCAGTGAAGACATTGGTCCATCAGTAGTTGCATGGCTGCTGCCAAGGCAACTGAATGGCTGTGACGTCGGTGGCTAAGGCCATTGCTCGGAGGCGCAGCCATGGTGGAGCTCCAGGCTTCACATGGGTAAGGTGCTGCCCAAAGGCCTCCGTGTGAGGAATACACATGGCAGCAAGTCCCCAAGAACTGCCAGGGTGCTCACTGTCACTATCCTTGTGGGGCTTTAGGTATTTTTAAGGCAGTTTTGCTCTCCTGGCAGTCTGGCTAAGGACTGCCAGCAGTGATTCCAGTCACCTCGCAGCACATATTTCATCAGCCCCAGGCTTGGCTGGCAGCAGGGACATGTGGGCAAGACTCCCTGGGTCCTTGAGGCACAAGAGGAGGCAGTTTGCCAGCTGAGCTCCAGGATTCTCCCAGCCCTGTAGCCAATGGAGAACAAAGGAGGTGCTTGGCCCAAGACAGGCAGCATTGCACACCATGTTTTGAGCAGCGCATCTTTGTTCGGTTACGTTTGTCTTCTTTGGTGCTTCTGCTGAACAAGAGTCTGTTGTTCTCTCACCAACTTCAACAAGGCTGAGTCCAGCTGGATTTGTGTTTTAGGT